ACTCTGGAAAACTATTTGGCTCTTTCTTACAATCAAACATTCTGTCATCAAAGAATTTGGTTATTTCACTCCTGGGCATCTACTTAGAGATATGAGCACTTGTGTTCACATATAAACTTTACATAAATCTTCATAGCAGCTTTATTTGTAAGCCCCCCAAATTGGAAACAGCCAAAAAAGTGCTTCATCAAGTTGATGGTTAAAAGTACCCATACCTTGAAATTCTACTCAGCAATAAAAGGAATGAACTATTGATACATAGCAACTTGGTGTCTGTCCGGAGTTTATCCTGAGTGAGAGAAGCCCATCCCAAAAGGTTGCATAATGTATGGTTCCATTTATGTAACATTCGTGAAATGACAAATTAAGCAGGTGGTGAAACATTGGTGGATGCCTGGGGCTAGGGTTGGGTGGGATATGTGGCCTCTGTAGTCATGGAAGCACTTGTGTGTTGTCTATGATTTTGGCATGAATACACACATGACAAAATGCACAAACTAGCACATGCAATAAGCACGTATAAACCCCTCGGAACTTGAATTCCATGGGTAGTGTGAATTAATACGAGTTTCCTGGTTACACCTTTTGCTTTTGATTCCTGTGGTATTGTACTATTAAGAAATGGAGACATGGTTGTGTTGGAGGAAACTAGGTGAGGGGTACATCCTACAGCTATATGTGAATCCTTTATCTCACCATTCTTACCTGATATCAGATAAGAAATGTTATAATAAAAAGGTAAAAACAATCCTAGTGTATAACTTAATTAGCCATGAGTCATCTAGTGATTTTGTATTTTAATTTCCCCAGTGCATATTTATTTCATTGAATTCAATAAACTGAGAAAATCTGATATGACTTTTAATTTGATAAGCAGGATCTTAACCCAACATGGCCATTTCTATCAGGGGAAGAAACTGATAATATTAAAATTATACATATTTGTACATGAAAAACTGTACAGTCATGCATTGCTTAACTGTCGCTGAGTAAGGGCTCACTGTCCAAATACACAGAAGCTAATACTATGGTACTGGCTTTTGAGAAAAGAAAAGGTTTTATTGCAGGTCCACCAGCAAGGAGACGGGGAAAACCTCAAATCTGCCTGAAGCAGAGTGGGGTTTTTAAAGGATTTTAATTGGTGGTAGGTACAAGGAAGTAATAAGAGTAGCAAATTATGATTGCTTAGTTCTGACTCAGCCCATAAGTGGAGATCTAGATCCTTTCACCAGATTTTCCTTGTTGCTGCACCTTTTTTTTTTTTTATTTCTTGGATTTTTCTTCCAGTGTTCTTGGTCCCATTGGGGCTAATCTTCAGTTCCACTAATTGAGAGGTTATCTAAAGACAGGGCATCACCCATCTGCACGAGCTTTATTTGTGGTTTAATTTTACTGAATTGATGGAAAACAAGTCTTAAATGGGAAGTTAGAAAAGTTGAATCATGACAGCTAGTTGTGTGGTCTAGAAGTCTGAATGCTAATTGATGTTGTTTTTCTACTGATGAGGACACTGTCTGAGAAATGAGTCATTAAGTGATTTCATCATTGTGTGGACATAATAGAGTGTACTTAAACAAACCTAGAGTGTGTAGTCTGCTACACCTCTTGGCTATATAACCACAAACCTGTACAACATGTTAATGTCTGAAAACTGTAGGCAGTTGTAACACAATGGTATTTGTGTTTCTATACATATCTAGACATAGAAAAGTTACAGGAAAAATATGGTATAAAAGATAAACAATAGTTCACCTGTATAAGGCAATTACAAATGGAGCTTGCAGGACTGGAAGTTGCTCTGGGTGAATCAGTGAGTGGTGAGTGAATATGATGGCCTAGGACATTACTGTGCACTACTGTAGACTTTATAGACACTGTACATGTAGGTAGGCTACACTAAATTTATAGCAACTGTTTTTCCTCAATTGTAAAGTAATCTTAGTTTATTATCATTTTCTACTCTAAATGTTTTAATTTTATAAACTTTTTGACTTTTATAATAAAACTTAGCTTAAAGTATCTTGTGCATCAGTATAAAAATATTTTTCTTTATATGTTTATTCTAAATATCTTTTTTATTTAGAAATATTTTAGTTTTTCTACTTTTAAAATTTATTGTTAAAAACTCAGACACAAACACAGACATTAACCTAGGCCTACACAGGTTTGGGACCATCAGTATCACTGCCTTCCACTTCCACATCCTGCCCCCTGGAGCTTTTTCAGGGGCAGTAACTTGCTTGGAGCTGTTATATCCTAGGATAACAATGCTTCTTCTCAAACATTGGACTTCTTCTCAAGTCCTGAAGGACTTGCCTGAGGCTCCTCTTGAGAAGGTGTCACTCTTTCTGGAAATATGTCCATTGTGGTGTGCTTGGTTTATTTCCGAAATATGTCCATCCCGGTTTTCTTGCTTTATTTCCTTCATCCATCATAGATTTGCTTGTTAGCAGGTAATACACAATGATTATTCTTCTCTATTAATGAAAGCCTTTGGTGTTGGGCTGTCCATATTTTCGAATTCTTTAAGAGCTTGTGGAGGTCTGCAGATTTTTCTACTAAACTCTTCAATGTGAATTTTCTTTGCAGTTCTTTTCCTTCTCCTACATTTTCCGTTCCCCTTGCTTCTTCTTCAGCTATGTATTCCTGTCCCAGTTGTGACAAGTTCTCCTTGGTCAATTCCTCAGGAACCGCCTTTAATTGCTCCTTGCTGTCATACTCATTCATACCCAGGTTAAAGTTGCTTGCCATCTCAACCACAGCCTTGTTGATTTTTGCAACTTCTGCGTCCTTGTCATTTCCTTTGAAGTCATGGACAAACCTCTTGGGTGTCTTCTTCCAGATGCTGCTCATACACTCCTTAGTGACATCACCCTAAACAGGGATCTTGATGCAGTCACAGAGATTGTAGTCCTTCCAGAAATGCATCAGTGTCTTCCCCAGTTGCAGCAATAACCTGAGCAAAGATCCTTTTCAGGCAGTAGGTCTGAAGAGCTGCTGTAATTTCTGTTAGTTGTCTCAAAGAAGTGGTGTCTTGAGGAGGAAACATCACTTTGATTTTGGGATAAAGGTCATCAATAAAAGGAGGGTGTCTAGGAGCATTATCAACAAGAAGCAAAATCTGGGAATCATATTATTCTCCCAACAGTACTTCCCCATTTCACTCGCATAGCAATTCAAGAGGGCACCTTGGAAGAGGAACTGGGTCATCTTTGACCTCACTGTTTCTGTAGTACACAGGCAATGTGTGCTTACTGATACGCTTCAAGGCCTTGGGATTTTCACATATGTTTTAATTTGTACCCTGAAACATTGCCTTCAAGCAAGACTCATATCCTGGCCTTATAAATCTTAAAAGGATTTAGCTTCCTTATGGTTGAAAGGATGTATTTCCAGAATAGGGAGATTTCATCCATATTGAAGATTTGCTCTGGCAAGTGTTCTTACTCCACAATCAGTTTATCTAGAGTTTCAAAAAAAATTTTCAGCTGCCTTTACATTAGCACTTAGACTAACCACTTATTTTCACATTGTGTAATGAATAATGACTCTCAAATCATTTAAACCACCCAGAACTTGTGATAAATTCAAAATCATAGTTGGGTCCAGCCTTTACTTTCAATATCACAAATAAACTTTTTGCCTTGGTCATGATCTTTGTGGTATTGAGAAGGACCACTTCTGTGTCTGATCTTCAGTCCAGGTCATGAGATTTTTCTGTATCTGATAGAGGCCTTTCTCAAGTTTTTGTGAATTTCATTGCTTTTTTTCTTTTTTATGGTGAAAAATTTATTAGTCAGCTGGATTCGGCTTAAATGATCCCAATTTGGTTAACAATATCCAAAGCATCATGGTCAGGAGCCAGTCGGGTGTATGCTTCTTCTCTCCATCAGATTTGATCAGGGTGTTGACATTGGCCACGTCAATGTCACAGAGCTTCTTCACAGCCTGTTTGTTTGATCTGGTGTATGTTGGCCTTGACATCCACAATGGTTGGATGAACACAGGTGTGTTGTTGTCGTCTATCTTCCTCATGGCTGACTCTGATCAGGGGAACTTGAAGGTAGAGTGGTTAAGCTTATTTCTCCTGGGGGTGCTCTTCTGAGAGTCTTTGGGTTGCCTTCAGGCCACAGTGCCTTGAGCCAATGGAAGGTGGGCAACGTGGATCTTTTTTCTGTGACTTTATTTTTTTTTAAAGATTTATTTATTTATTTATATAAGCACTGGGTACAGTCAGAAGCGCGGGAGGGTAAGAGAATTTACCAGAGCCAGAGCGGGGAACAGAACAGGCGGACTGATGAAATACACTGCTGAGGGGAGCAGCGGGTGCAGCAGGAGAGGTCTGTGTGCCATGTGGGACCCTCGCCGGGGGCTGGGGATTGGACCGGTGCTGCAGAAGCTTCAGGCAGCTTCACAGCCCAGTGCTCAATCGCTGCGCCACCGGGGAGGCCCTCTGTGACTTTAGATGCCTTTTCAGCACTGATTTCTTAGACTGAAAAGCTTTGGCTTTGGGAGGGTCAGGGGCTTCTTCTTTACTTTTGCCACCATCTTTGTGAGTCATAGCTGTCAATGAAGCAGCTCCTTTAGCAGCTTTTGTCAAACTTGGTCCCGATTCTTCAAGATTGTTACTTTCGACCTCCCTGGTGGCACAAGGGGTTAAGCACCACACAATGAAGCAATCCGCAGCCTCTGCAGCACAAGTTTGATCCCTGGCCAGCCCAGGAGAAACCCACATGGCGTAGCAGACCTCTCCTGCCTTGCCTGCTGCTCCCCTAAGCAGTGTATTTCAGTCAATCTGCCTGTTCTGCTCCCCACTTTGTCTCTGGTGAGCCCTGTCACCCCCTGCATCTCTGGCCTTACCTCAACTCTTGTATGCATAAATAAATAAATCTTTGAAAAAAAAAAGTTACTCTAGTGGAATGGGATGTACCTGACTGGCAAATAATAATCACTGATTTTCCACTTTCATCATCCTTATTCACTTTTAAATTTGTTTTCAGATCTATCACTCAATATGGACTCTTATGGCAACACCAACAGTGGATTTTATACATTTGGGGACCATGATGTACAAAAGAACATAAAGATTAAATTGAGCACAAAGGAAAATGATGGTATCAAGAGACATGCTATACACGAGGTATGTGAGGTTGCTACTGCCATAAAATATTACTACATGAGATCTGTAAGGTCACGAGGTAATGGGAATTTTGGGATCACATGAGATACGTGCTCTGTCATTCACCAAAATGTCATTCGTGATTATAGAGAAATATAAGCACCCTCCACAAAGAAATATGTGAACATATAGTTCTTTTTTTTTTTTTAAGGTTTCAAGGCTGGAAGTGTCCTTATTTTATGGGGTTGGATACCAGGGTATAGTGGCAGAGAGCAACATGATAGCATGTTTGAGGTGGGGCATACACAGTTGGGTTACATGTGTCTTTATCCCTCTGAGTCTGCAGGCCATCAGTTTCAACTGGTTTTGGAGCCATTGCAAAAAAGCAGGGGGCCTCTGCAGGATGGAGGGTCTGTTTCCTACTGGTGATTGGCTGAATTCCTCTTGGCCTGGGGACTCAATAGCAGGAAGGTTAGGTAAGAAACATATAGGTCCGAGAGGTCCTGAAACAAATCCCCTTCAGTGTTTTCCCATTCCTTATTCTTGAAGGATTTCAGGGGTAAAGACCTTCCTCCCCCAACACACTATTATGTGGCTACTTCTTGCTGAGAGGTGCTCCTCCCAGGGAGTTAGAAGAATGGAACTTCACTTGTGTGAGGTGGAGATACGTTTGGGTATCACCTGGCTGGGTTCCCAGAGGTTCATGCCTTTGGCACAGGACCAGGGGAGTTCAGTAGACTCTACGTGTTTGAACATAAAGCTTACCAGACAATCGAAGAGACGGGAACCAAAAATCAAGAGGAATAGGATAAGAAACAAAACTTAAAGATTGAAGCAACCCACAAGTCCAATAATGCCTGTTTTCCAGTTCAATATCATCAAGTATTTAGGAAAACAGGCATAATTCCATTTGGGCACAGTCATCCTGGTGATATCTCTGAAGGTGACAAAGTTCTCCATTTTCAAAAAGACATTTTAGTTTTTAATCAATCCAAGCCAAAAAATTAGGAGAAAAACTGGAAATCTTGCTAAGAGGTGCTAATCAGTTTGTAAAGTTATAGCCAGTTAGTGGAAAAATTCCCATCCATCCAATTCACAGGTAAAAAAGCAAAAACAAGCAAAATGGTTAAAAGAACCAGAAACTGATGTCCTTAAGAAGATATTACTGATAGGGCCTCCCCTACTGGCGCAGTGGTTGAACGCTGGGCTGCAAGGCTGCCTGCAGCCTCTGCAGTGCCGGTTCGATCCCCGGCCACCAGCGAGGTCCCACATGGCGTGCAGACCTCTCCTGTCTCGGCCGCTGCTCCCCTCAGCAGTGTATTTCGTCAGTCTGCCTGTTCTGCTCCCCGCTCTGGTGAATTCTCACCCTTCCACGCTTCTGACTGTACCTGGTGCTTGCATAAATAAATTAAAAAAAAAAAGAAGATATTACTGAAACCTATTTTCTTTTTACTTCTTCACTCCAATTTTACAAAATACAGTAAAACTCATTTGCAAATTAAATCTAGTTTCAGTAAATAACAATAACAAATAACAGTAAGTAACAATAACAACAAAATACAACCATGCATCTTTTAAATCTGCTTTCCTGGAACTTCTCATAATAATCTCAGATTGAGCACTTACTAGCCTTTTAGGACCCAGGATCATGCCAAGATTTCTTCATCAAACCTCACCTGCAATACCTGTATCTTTAGGAAAGTTCCTCTCCTTGAGGTCCCCAAATGTGTTTCTGGATCTGCCAAGAGGTGACTTACCTTACCCTTTTCCTGATATACACAGAACCCTGAAAGAGGGGCATTCAGGCTATCTTTTCTTCAAAGGTTCTCAGGTCAATCTAAATTCCTGAACGCAGTCTGGTCTCAAATATCATTGTCTAGACAAAGTTTTGGCCGTACAATCATGTTTTCCAGTGTCTCCTTGGGTTCTTTTAGAGTGGCAAATAATCAGCAAGCATCAGACAGATTGATAAGACAAAAAAAAAAAAACATAGAGAAGTTTAACTTCAAATAGTTTAGTTAGGACCAAGTGTGTATTTCTTTTCACTTAAAAAAATGACAATATAACACACAGTTTCCTTTCAGCATATATTTTGTTATTCCATGCTGTCGGTGTGCCTTACTTTGACTAACTCATGGGTAGTTAAATTGTTTCTGATCTTTTACAAATATAGTAGTGGAGCAATAAACATTCTTACCCATTATATTTAATGTCCTGTTCCTGGAAATAGGGTATTTCATATGATAAAGTAGTTGAATTTTGCTACCACTGTTCAATAGTATAGATGCTTTGGTGGAGCCTTTCCAGTTTGACTTCTGACTGATGAGTGTACCTTGGACTTTCTTGCCAGAATGTCTACTTCTCTCATATATGTGATTACTGGTACCTGGTGGAAGGGGCTCCTTGCTTGAGTCGAGCGCTTTGGAGGGGGCATCCAATTGAATAATCATTCAACAGTTGAGATTGTCTGTATCTTCCCTCACACAATTTCTAAGTTCTTCAGGGTTCTGATATACCCCCACATTAATCTATAAATTCAACACAATCCCTATTAGAATTATAGCTGGGTCTTTTCCTAAATCAATCAATGGAATAGTGTCCAGACCTTTGCTGTGAATTGATTTTTCAACAAATGCTCTAGAACAAAGGGATATCCCGAAGAATGAAGATGGAGCTCCACTTCACACAAGATGCAAAATTAACTCAAAATGGATCAGAGACCTAAATGGAAGAGCTAAAGCTATGAAACTAAAAGCTAAAGCTTTGAAACTCTTCAAAGAAAACACACATATAAATCTATCACCACGAAGTGATTAAGCATTGATTTATTATAAATGACCCAGAACCACAAGCAAGTAAGAAAAAAAAGATACATTGGACTTTATTAAAATAAAATTATGCTTTAAGAGGACAATATTAAGAACAGAATGGGAGAAAATCTTTCAAATTATGTATCTGATAAGGGTCTAGCTTTCAGAACTCCTTGAGCATAATTTGAGTTGGAAGTCAACCTTCAAGACCCTGGGGTCTGATCAGCACTGGCTGAATCCTTGCTCCCCCTGCTGGTGTGTTGGTGGCAAACAACTATGCTCTTGAACCTCTCTCTGCCTTCCCCCAGAGTCTTAAAGGAAGGGGTTTCTTCTGTTTGTGCTGAGGGGACTGGAGAGAAGAGGTTAGGAGGACAGGAGGAGGAGGGATGGAGGGAGAGAGGACTAGGAAAGATGGGGAGATAGGAGGAATGGAAGGAGAGGGGAAGTCTTCTCGAGCAAAAACAGACATTCACCATAAGGCACATTATTAGCCAAAACTGTGATAATCAAATACATTGTGAACTGTCATAAAAAAAAAAACCTCACAGAATAAAGTTTAAAGTCATCTTGGAATTTAGGTTCCAGCCAGTTCCAACCAATAGAATTTAATCTTATAGAATCAACAGAAATCTAGGTTGAATGGTTAGAAAGGCATTGTTATTAGAGTTCTTTCTCAGACTTGTTAAGGAAAAATAAGGAGCAAACTCTTAGGCTGTGAATGACATCCTGAATGAACTCCATCCCCTGGTGTTTTTTATAGGTTCTATCCCAATCTCCATGCAGAAATGATCTCAAGCAAGAGGATTACAACTCCCAGCATGCCATGAACACAACTTCCTGAATGAGGTACTGGGGGATCTGGGGAAGAATTTAGGCAATCATGCTTGGTTAATGCCTGAACACATGCATTCTCTTGCTCTCTTGCTTTTCTGGCTCCAACTTGCACTCTGGTGCTTGGAGCAGAGAGATATTTGGAAGAGACACATAGGTGAGTGACACGTAGGAAAGCTGCTCCTGGCCCTCAGAAGAGATAATCATAATGTTATTTTGTGGTATATTTTGAATGTGGTATATTTTGATGTATATTTTGAATTTTGAGTCTTTCCCACGAGACCCAACTCTGTGGGACCTGCCTAAGTGGCTACCCACCAAAAGGTACCTTAGATTTGTGGCAAACTTTTGGGCCTCAGTGGTCCTGCTGCAGGTCAAGTCTGTTTGGCTGGACATATGCCCATAAGGGGGTGGGTAATTTGGGGAGTTTTACTGGGAAATGATGATTTGAAGTCCTTTCTTCTCTCTTTTTCTCTGCACACCAATTGTATTAAAAAACTATCACTCTAAAAATCTACTTCGTCTTTGTGTGCACAGATGGCCAAATCCCTTTTATTTCATGTACCTCTTGACAGTTTGGGGTCCCTGGATACCACTAGATCACGTGCTAACAGATTCAATAAGAGAATAGGTTCTGTGTTATAAACTTGGCATTTGGGCCTCCCCTGGTGGTGCAGTGGTTGAGCGCTGGGCTGCGAAGCTGCCCACAGCCTCTGCAGCGCTGGTTCTGTCCCCGGCCACCAACAGTGAGGGTCCCACATGGCGCAACAGACCTCTCCTGCCGCACCCACTGCTCAGTGGGTGTATTTTGTCAGCAGTGTATTTTGTCAGTCTGCCTGTTCTGTTCCCCGCTCTGGCTCTGGTGAATTCTCTCACCCTCCCGTGCTTCTGACTGTACCCAGTGCTTGTATAAATAAATAAATAAATCTTTAAAAAACAAAAACAAACAAACAAAAAATACTGATAACATTTAAAAAAATAAACTTGACATTTTAGACAGTAAATTTGTTAAGGTCAGGCAGTATCTCATTCACTTGTTCATGTGTGTTGTCCATGTTCAGTAAGCAGTATAGGCGCTTTCTCTTAAGGGACCCTCTGTCTCTGTCCATGGTATCAGTGTTGTCTTTGTTTTTTATCTCTGTCCTATCCCTTATCAGCTATTATTTTCTTCTCCAACTCTTAAGTCTAATTCTTTAGCGTAAGGTAGGCTATGACTTAAGATTACCCTGTTCAACTTGAGCACTTAAGGGATAAAAGCAATGACTCTAGGATTTGCTTGGTTTATTCATTTCAGGTCTAGTAAAATTGGATTCTCCATCTGATTTTCATCTGTCAGTTATTTTCTCCATTATATGCTATTGTATGATTTTAGTCTTTTTTTTGAGTTACAAAAACCAAAAATACCTGGCCTCTGTTGTTTTTCTCCTCTCCCGTAACAAGTACCATTGTTTTACATCCTTCTTAATTTTTTAATGGCATAAGATTTCTCCACTTGGCTGTGGTCACTGTAGCTTTTCTATCACCAAAGCACCCATTCGGGCTATAGTTTGGTTCCCTGGAAAACGTTGAGCCTGGACATTAAGGAAGAAGACAGAATACACATGATATAGTCAAATAGACTGTATTTCAAATGTTCTTACCTAACCATAACCCGATTTTTAAGATAAACTTTCTAAAGGTTTATTTTAATCTATCTTACACTAAATATATAGACTCTGACTAATCTCAAAAGCAGTGAAAGGTCTGTTTAAACAAGAGCTAAAAGTAGTGAACACTCATTAACTGTGTTGGTCTTAACACCTTCCTGTATTTCTGATGGATGAAGCACTACCTGATATTCTAAAAACTGATAGAAAAGCAATGACTATCGAATAATCCTCTGATCTTAACATAAGATCAGAAACTATACCTGTTTGTTTACTTTAGGCTGTGTAACAATAATCAGAATACTAGAATTATAATAAATATTTTGTTGGTGACAGGAATGTATACCTGAACAATTCATGAGAACAAAATTTAATGAGGGAATGTGATACAACACTAATATATAGGCATCAATAGCTTTCATAACATAAATAACAGATATATTAAATAAAATATTCCATTTACAAGAGTGACTAAAAAGATGTAATACCTAGAAGGAAACTTAATAATGCACATGGCTGTGCAGTCAAGTGTTAACTCAGAGAGTTTGGGGTGCTCAAACCCTGTACATTCCAAAGAAAGGAATGGCCCTTGACTAGTTCTTGGCAGGGAACCTCGAAGCCCTTAGAATATCCTATTTGATAAGAAAGTTTCTGTTCTTCACTTGAGGTGTTGGGCTATGCTAGATAGTTTCTGCTAACAATATGCCTTGATGAATGTCTGATTTTGTTTGCCTGGAGCTCTGATTCATACTGCATCAGTTTGAACTTTGGAATGGGTAAATACTGAGGAGCTGAGGTGCTCCATGGCTACATGACAGGCATCCAACAAAATTCCTGGACCCCAAGGCTTTGGCAAGCTTCCCTGGTTGACTATAATTTCCACATGTCACTAATCATTAAAGGGATAATTAAGTGTCTGTGTGACTCCCTGTAAAAGGACAACTGGAAGCTTGCACCTGGTTTCTCCTGAACTCCACCTGTGTGACTTTTTCATCTGCTAATTTTAGTTTGTATCTGACAGTTTTTCTGGGTTTTATAAGTTCTTCCAGCAAGTCAGCAAACACAAAGGTGGCCTTGGGGTTCCAGGGCACAATTGGTGTCAGAAATGACATTTCCTGTACTAACCTTGACATACTGAAACATGGTGAAAACATTTTTTGGGAAAAGAAACACCGAGGGGGGGCGGCTGATGAACCTGAACAGGTCACTAGGAGGGCAGTCCAGGTGATAGGGGGATAAAACTGAGAAACTTAAAACAAGGACTAAGGTGTGTTAGAGTTTCCCATCATATGCATCAGTGTCATCAACTTCCCCTATAGGTCTCTTAGACACTAAAGAAATGAGTGGAATTCACAAGAGAATGGGGAAGAACACGGGCCAGTCAAGGGATTTTTCCCAGCAGCATGGAAATCTTTAAACAGTTATTAAGAAATAGAATGAATAAGCGGCTGAAACAAAGGTCTTAATGCTACAGTTGTGGGGGCTGGTTAGACCTATGGAAGCACCAGTTGGTCACCCAACAATGAAGAGTATTAAGCAAATCTGCTTCATTTATCCTAGTTTGATAGAATTTAAGAAGCAGGAGGTAAGGATGACAATGAGAAACCTGACTATGAACCACTAGGGTGGGTGTCCAGCACATTAATCTGGATCAGAACTCATGAAGGACTCAGTCTTTTTAATAGCTTTTTTTAAAATTAATTAATTAGTTTGTTTATTTATTTATTTATACAAGCACCGGGTACAGTCAGAAGCGCGCGAAGGTGAGAGAATTCACCAGAGCCAGAGCAGGGAGCAGAGCAGGCAGAAGGACCGAAGTACACTGCTGAGGGGAGCAGCGGGCGGCAGGAGAGGTCTGCGCACCATGTGGGACCCTCCTCCGGTGGCCGGGGAGCAGCCGGGGATCGAACCAGTGCCGCAGAGGCTGCGGGCAGCTTCGCAACCCAGCGCTCAACCGCTGCGCCACCGGGGAGGCCCCGAAGGACTCAGTCTTGACCCAAATCCACCTAGGTACACAAGGCTGTCTGCATACATGGGAAAATGGCAAGGCATCACAGAAAAACTTTTCTGAGGTTTCTTGACATGGGCTCCCAATACACTGTCATTTCAAAATTTGGTAGTGAGATCCTGATGAGGGTACATTTAGATCAGGAGGATATGAGGAAGCAGTGATTGATAGATTGGTGGGGTTAAGGTGAAAATTCACAGGAACATTGGAATGTTTGAATGGACTTTATGTGAAGTGGTTGTATCTCCCTCACATAAATGTGCTAATCAGTGGTTATTACATCTGGGTGGGGTCATTTCCTCTCTACCTAGTGTTGTAAAACAGGACTCAAAAGCACGCATAGTCAATTGGAAACTATGGCATTGCCTAAGCCTTTACAGGCTGTTAATTTGAAACAGTATTGCAACACCTGTGGAAAAAAGAGATTGCTATTTAATTAATGACATATTAGAAGCTGGAGTGCTAGAACCAACAACTTCTCTCTACAATAGTTCCATGTGGGCATGGAAGAGGAGATGGACTACTCATAAAGCACTTGTGGAGTTTATGGCAGAAGCCCATTAGTGCCACCCAGTGGTTGCCAATGGAATTTTGGGCCAGAAAATTTCTGGGCCTGGTGGTGCCATATACCCTGTTTGAGACATCATCACTAGCTTCCTGTTGGGCCTTAATTGAAACTGCCCCCATGACTAAAGATATAAAATAACATGAACCTGGGTCATGGGAGCGCCAATGACCCTGTGCAGGCTCAGTGCCTTGGGCAGGGCATGTCCCCAGTGAGCACTTATAGGCAGTGATTGGCACTCTGGAACATTCTAGGCACAGGTACCCATTTAGGCTCCTTTCAGAGGAAGAAACTGATCCTTGGCCAAGTTTCAGTGCTGGAAAATGCAGGCAAGTCTGTAAGCCTCAATGTGGACTGGTGAAAAGGCAGTGAGTGTCAAGGTCCCACATTGGAAGGACCAGGAAGCTTTCTCAGCAGCACTGAAAATGCCAGAACCCAGAAGGACAGGAGAAACCAGTCAATAATGATCCAAAACCTATCCACTAAGCTCATATTCCACTATCCTCAGACCACACTTAAAGCACCCTTGGTACCACTGTCTCCTCCTATTCCCATGGAAGATGGGTAGCTAATTGATTCTGTAGGGACTCCAGAGAGACTACAGAGTTCAAAGCTGACATGGCCGATGGATGTCTGCACTGACCACAGAGCGAATGCAGTGTCCAAGGCAGTGTGGGTCACTGACTCCTGCACTGACCCCCGGAAAGATGGAGAGATCAGGACTCATATGACTGATTGATCTCTGCATGGGCCCCAGAGAGAACTGCAGTCCCTCATGCAGCCAGTATCTGTCAAG